AGTGTGGAGTTTGGGAAAAATAAACCTTGACATTTGGGAGTTGTAGTTGCTGGGATCTATAATTCACCTATAACCAAAGCACATTCTGAACTCCACCGATAGAACTGGGCCAAACTTTTCACACAGAACCACAATGCATTGAAGGGACTCACTGGCATAATTCTCCCTTCAGCCTCACATACTCTTCCTCGCCTGGACATATGCACCACGATGCCATGTACTGAGCATGCCTCCTCTACCTTCCCTGCTTGGAGTTTCAGAAACATCCCTCCCCTTGGCTGAGAGGCCAGCTGAGAGACCAGCCAATCACAGTGGAGGAGGGTTTTTGGTGGGAGGATTCGTCATCTATTTCCAAAAAGGAAGAGTAGGACAGGCAGAGAGAACTTCAGCCTTCTCTGCTAAAGGGGTTCCTAACACTATCAGAAATATATGTTTTCTCATGGTTTTTAGTGACTCCTCTGAAACCCCCTCATGGGGTCCCGACCCCCAGTTGAGAAACATTGGTCTAAATGAACTGGTCCTATGAATGTAAACGTTTAAAGATCTGCACAAGTCTAGTTTGTGCCATACCATGTCCTATGAGGATGATGGTCTTGGTCAGTAGGAAGAATGAGATCTTAACTGAAGCAAAAAAGAGTGTTTTCGTTAAAAGGAAGGTTCTGGGCGGAGGCAAACATAATCTTCTGAAAAACAGCACAGGTGTCTGAGCACTGAGAGGGGAACAAGCTCCAAAACATATCTCACAGTGATAATAGCAACTGGAAAGCCCACTTTGAGGATGAAAAGACAGGCTGACATTGACAAGACCAAAGATAAACCAACTGTCTGTCTCTTTAGAATATCCATAGAGTATATAGATTACTTGTATGCATTGTACTTACGTTTTTAAAAAGTTTCAAGACAGTTTAATGCCACAGATAGTTCTCCACAGGGGCCTGAGATGAAATAGTCTTATTGTACTAAGGGAGAATTTGTGAAAAAATAAGATTGATTTATTTTCAGGCTATATCATAGTGCACAGTGTGTAGATCTGATTCTGAGACTATCTAAAGGCTTTTTCCTTTCTTTTTGCCCACTGAATGGTGAAGGCATACAGAATGGCACAGTGTGTGCACAAGCATGTATGCATGCGTTTCTTCTTCTTTTGTGAGGATTCAAGGCTCAATGTGCTTTGTTCTTTAACATCACAGATCTTTCGATCCCCTGCCCCAAACTGTGTTGCAGAAAATATGATCACTGCTATTTTCTTTCCTTGGCTTGCTCTTAAAACAAGTGAGTGAAAGAGAAACAGGCAAAGAAAGAGAAGACACACACAAAAAGGACTAGTCTTTTTTGCAGATCAGTGGAAATATCAGCAATTGCACATTTTCTTACTCCCTTCATTTAAGAGACGACATAAATGTACTCTGTGTGATTGTTAATATGGACTTTATGCCTGATCTGGACAGCTCAGACATACACTTTGCAATCTGGAATGGACACACTTCTGGTTGCAATCAGTGAAGCACTCACTTGAAAATATGCACATTTGTATAGATTTTGCCACCCTAGAGCGGTGTTTCTCAACCTTCCTAATGTCACAACCCCTTAATACAGTTCCTCATGTTGTGGTGACCTCCAACCCTAAAATTATTTTCTGTAATCATAACTGTATTTTCATTCACTGGACATAATTTGGCACATATAGCCAATACACCCAAATCTGAATACTGGTGGTGTTGGGGGATCAATATTGTCATTTGGGAGAATGGGAGAGAGTATAGTTTGCCTTATGACAGTTGTTCTCAACCATCCTAATGCCACGACCCCTTAAAACATTTCCTCAGGCTGTGGTGACCCCCAACCATGAAATTATTTTCGTTGCTACTACAGAACTGTAATTTTGCTACTGTTTGTAATGTAAATATTACAAATAATTGTAATGTAAATATACGATATGCAGGGTGTATTTTCATTCGCTGGACCAAAATTGGCACAAATTTGAATACTAGTGGGGTTGGGGGGGATTGATTTTGTCATTTGGGAGTTGTAGTTGCTGGGATTTAAAGTCCACCTACAATCAAAGAGCATTCTGAACTCCACCAATGATGGAATTGAACCAAACTTGGCACACAACAGAAAATACTGGAAGAGTTTGGTGGGCATTGACCTTGAGTTTTGGAGTGGTAGTTCACCTACATACAGAGAGCACTGTGGACTCAAACAATGATGATCTGGACCAAACTTGGCATAAATACTCAATATGCCCAAATGTGAATACTGGTGGAGTTTGGGGAAATTAGACCTTGACATTTTGGCGTTGTAGTTGCTGGGATTTATAATTTACCTACAATCAAAGAGCATTCTGAACCCCACAAACGATAGAATTGGGCCAAACGTCCCACAAAGAACCCCCTTGCCTTGAAGCAACTCGCTGACATGAGCCTCCCTCCAGCCTTACAAGCTCTCCCTCACCCCGCACATGCACACCATGTGCCGAGCACGCCTGCTCTTTCCTCTCCACTTGGAGAAACGCTGTCCTAGAGAGTATAGTTTAGACTTTTCAGTTTACATAAATGCTACTATTATAGTCCAATCCCATGGAATGTTTGTAAACAACAACAACATATTTATTTCTATAGCGGCCACAGCTCAATGCTATGGGATCTTGGGAATTGTAACATTGAGCAATGGTGTCAAACTGCATTAACTCTACAGTGTAGATGCACCCGTATTCTGTATGTGTATTATATATGATTTTATTTCTTATCTGCCTCTCCTTGTGGATTACAGATTAATTAAAACACATAAACATTGCAAAAGTAACACAAAATACACACATTAAAATTTATTTCTATAAATGATACATATTAAAACATATTTCTATAAAATGCATATTAAAATACACAAAACCGAGATTATATAATCTCTTCTATTCTCTCACTTCATTAAACTCAATGCTTTGGGATCATGGGAATTGTACGAGCCCCCAGTGGTGCAGTGGGTTAAGCCCTTGTGCCGGCAGGACTGAAGTCCATCAGGTGGGATGATCGAATCCGGAGAGAGCGCAGGTGAGCTCCCTCTGTCAGCTCCAGCTCCCCATAGGGGACATGAGAGAAGCCTCCCACAAGGATGGTAAAACATCAAAACATCTGGGCGTCCCCTGGACAACGTCCTTGCAGATGGCCAATTATCTCACAACAGAAGCGACTTGCAGTTTCTCAAGTCCCACCTGACACGTAAAAAAGGGAATTGTAGTTTCACAAGGTCTTTATCTTTGTCTGCCATATAGGGCTGGTGCCTTATCAAACTGCAAATCCCAGGAATCCATAGAATGGGTGCATCTACACCGTAGAGCTAATGCAGTTTGGCACCAATTTCACTGCCAGGGCTCAAAGCTATGGGATCATGGGAACTGCAGTTTCACAAGGTCTTTACCTTTGTCTGTAATAGAGGGCTGGTGCCTTATCAATCTACAAATCCCAGGAATCCAAAGAATGGCTGCATCTACACTGCAGAGTTAATGCAGTTTGGCACCAATTTCACTGCCAGGGCTCCATACTATAGGATTGTGGGAATTTGCAGTTTCACAAGGTATTTACCTTTGTCTACCATAGAGAGCTGGTGCCTTATCAATCTACAAATCCCAGGAATCCATAGAAAAGCTGCATCAATTTGACACCAATTTTACTGCCAGGGCTCAATGCTATGGGATCATGGGAATTGTAGTTTCACAAGGTCTTGACCTTTCTATGACATAGAGAGCTGGTACCTTATCAATCTACAAATCCCAGGAATCCATAGAATGGCTGCATCTACACCGTAGAGCTAATGCAGTTTGGCACCAGTTTGACTGCCAGGGCTCAAAGCAATGGGATCATGGGAATTGCAGTTTCACAAGGTCTTTACCTTTGTCTACCATAGAGAGCTGGTGCCTTACCAATCTACAAATCCCAGGAATCCATAAAATGGCTGCATCTACACTACAGAGTTAATGCAGTTTGGCACCAATTTCACTGCCAGGCCTAATACTATGGGATTGTGGGAATTTGTAGTTTCATGAGGTTTTTACCTTTCTGACAGAGGGCTGGTGCTTTATCAACCTACAAATCCCAGGAATCCATAGAATGGCTGCATCTACACAGCAGAGTTAATGCAGTTTGACACCAAATTCACTGCCAGGGCTCAATACTATAGAATTGTGGGAATTTGTAGTTTCACAAGGTTTTTACCTTTGTCTACCATAGAGAGCTGGTGCCTTATCAATCTACAAATCCCAGGAATCCATAGAAAAGCTGCATCAATTTGACACCAATTTCACTGCCAAGGCTCAGTGCTATGGGATCATGGGAATTGTAGTTTCACAAGGTCTTTACCTTTGTTTACCATAGAGAGCTGGTGCCTTATCAAACTACAAATCCCAGGAATCCATAGAATGGCTGCATCTACACAGCAGTTAATGCAGTTTGAAACCAATTTCACTCAGTGCTATGGGATCATGGGAATTGTAGTTTCACAAGGTCTTGACCTTTCTGGTGCCTTATTAATCTACAAATCCCATAGAGAACTGGTGCCTTATTAATCTACAAATCCCAGAGTTAATGCAGTTTGAAACAAATTTCACTGCCAGGGCTCAATGCTATGGGATCATGGGAATTGTAGTTTCACAAGGTCTTGACCTTTCTATGCCATAGAGAGAGCTGGTACCTTATGAAACTATAAATCCCAGGAGTCCATAGTAGTTAAGCTGGTATCAAAGTGCATTGATTTGACTATGTATATCAACTTTCTCCACTCGCCTTGGCCCACAATTGCTTTTGCCATTACCTTGCCCTGTTCTTTCCTGTATAATGGACATTCACTACTACGCATGCGCCCAATCCTCCTTTAGTTACCGCTTGGCGAAAAGCTCCACGCATGCGCTTTCAAGCTTTCCTCCCCTCCCCTCCCCACACCTCTTTCCTATTATTCGCGAAGGTTCGTGAAACATCCACTCGGCTTTTCCCGGAAACAGCGCATGCGCACGAGAGACCGAGAAGCCTTTTCCCGTCTTTAGTCCGTCAGTGAACCAGCCAGGTACCGGCTCTGCCTTTCCTTGCCGGCTTTTTTCACTTCCCTCCCCTTTCGGGCCTTCGTTCCTCTCCTTCATGGCTCAGCTCTGCTACAACCGAGGCTGCGGGCAGCGCTTCGACCCCGAAACCAACCGGGAAGGTGAGGCGAAGGGGACGGAAACGGGACGTCAACGGTGGCGGGATGAGGCGCGGAGGGGGAGAGAAAGGCTGATGGAAGAGCCACTCTGCGCCTGCGCAGTAGCGTAGAGCAGTCCTTCCTACTGGAATGGTTACTCTCCTTCAGTGCAAATGAATGTGGTTTTGGCAACACTTTCACTGCCATGTCCCAATGCTGTGCAATCATGGGAGTTGTAGTTTTGCAAGGTCTTTAGCCTGTTCTGCCAAGTAGTGCTTATCAATGGGTTGCTGTGAGTTTTTCAGACTGTATGGCCATGTTCCAGAAGCATTCTCTCCTGACGTTTCGCCTGCATCTTTTGGCAGGCATCCTAAGAATCATAGAATCAAAGAGTTGGAAGAGACCTCATGGGCCATCCAGTCCAACCCCCTGCCAAGAAGCAGGAATATTGCATTCAAATCACCCCTGACAGATGGCCATCCAGCCTCTGTTTAAAAGCTTCCAAAGAAGGGGCCTCCACCACACTCCGGGGCAGAGAGTTCCACTGCTGAACAGCTCTCACAGTCAGGAAGTTCTTCCTTGTGTTCAGATGGAATCTCCTCTCTTGTAGTTTGAAGCCATTGTTCCGCGTCCTAGTCTCCAGGGAAGCAGAAAACAAGCTTGCTCCCTCCTCCCTGTGGCTTCCTCTCACATATTTATACATGGCTATCATATCTCCTCTCAGCCTTCTCTTCTTCAGGCTAAACATGCCCAGCTCCTTAAGCCGCTCCTCATAGGGCTTGTTCTCCAGACCTTTTATCATTTGAGTCGCCCTCCTCTGGACACATTCCAGCTTGTCAATATCTCTCTTGAATTGTGGTGCCCAGAATTGGACACAATATTCCAGGTGTGGTCTACAGACAGTACACAGATAAATCAAGCTTCCCTAGATCTAGACACTATGCGCCTATTGATGCAGGCCAAAATCCCATTGGCTTTTTTTGCCGCCACATCACATTGTTGGCTCATGTTTAACTTGTTGTCCACGAGGACTCCAAGATCTTTTTCACACGTACTGCTCTCGAGCCAGGCATCCCCCATTCTGTATCTTTGCATTTCGTTTTTTCTGCCAAAGTGGAGTATCTTGCATTTGTCCCTGTTGAACTTCATTTTGTTAGTTTTGGCCCATCTCTCTAATCTGTCAAGATCCTTTTGAATCCTGCTCCTGTCCTCTGGAGTATTGGCTATCCCTCCCAATTTTATCAATGGGTTGCTGTGAGTTTTTCAGACTGTATGGCCATGTTCCAGAAGCATTCTCTCCTGACGTTTCGCCTGCATCTTTTGGCAGGCATCCTAGAATCATAGAATCAAAGAGTTGGAAGAGACCTCATGGGCCATCCAGTCCAACCCCCTGCCAAGAAGCAAAATATTGCATTCAAATCACCCGACAGATGGCCATCCAGCCTCTGTTTAAAAGCTTCCAAAGAAGGAGCCTCCACCACACTCCGGGGCAGAGAGTTCCACTCCTGAATGGCTCTCACAGTCAGGAAGTTCTCTCTAATTTTCAGATGGAATCTCCTTCCGGTAGTTTGAAGCCATTGTTCCATTGCGTCCTAGTCTCCAGGGCAGCAGAAAACAAGCTTGCTCCCTCCTCCTCCCTGTGGCTTCCTCTCACATATTTATACATGGCTATCATCGTCAGAGGTTGTGAGATCTGTTGGAAACTAGGAACATTTATCTGTGGAGTGCCCAGCGTGGAAGAAAGAACTCTTGTCTGTTTGAGGGAAGTGTGAATGCTACAGTTGGCCACCTTATCATAGAATCAAAGAGTTGGAAGAGACCTCATGGGCCATCCAGTCCAGCCCCCTGCCAAGAAGCAGGAATATTGCATTCAAATCAGCCCTGACAGATGGCCATCCAGCCTCTGCTTAAAAGCTTCCAAGGAAGGAACCTCCACCACACTCTGGGGCAGAGAGTTCCACTGCTGAACGGCTTTCACAGTCAGGAAGTTCTTCCTAATGTTCAGATGGAATCTCCTTTCTTGTAGTTGGAAGCCATTGTTCCTTGTCCTAAGTTTGCAGATGACACCAAATTGGGAAGGATAGCCAATACTCCAGAAGACAGGAGTAAAATGATCTTGACAGATTAGAGTGATGGGCCAAAACTAACAAAATGAAGTTCAGTGGGGACAAAAGCAAAATATTCCACTTAGGCATAAAAAATAAAATGCTAAGATACAGAATGGGGGAGCTCCTGGCTTGATAGTAGTACATGTGAAAAAGATGTTGGAGTCCTGGTGGACAGGAAGTTAAACATGAGTCAACAATATGATGCTGCAGCTAAAAAAGCCAATGTGATTTTGGCCTGCATCAATAGGAGTCTAGTGTCTAGATCCAAGGAAGTCATACTACCCCTCTATTCTTCCTTGGTTAGGCCACACCTGGAATAATGTGTCCAATTCTGGGCACCACAATTGAAGAGAGATATTGACGGGTTGGACTGGATGGCCCACAAGGCCTCTTCCAACTCTAAGAGTGTATATACTTTTCTTTTTCAATTACATCTGAAAGGAATGTTGTGAGGATAAAAAACAAAAAAGAGCTGGGAACTAATGGTGCATCTTAACCATCTGATGAGGGGGAAGTGGCCTGCCCCCATACCAGAATTTTATTATTTGTTTTCAAGGTTGCAGCATTAATGAGGGATCCCTGAAGGATATGTCGCAAAGCTTAGGTCTTGCAATCATAGGGCCATGACTTCCCTGATTGATTTTATCCATCTGTAATGCAGTCTCCTATTTTTCTACTGCCTTCCACTTTATCCTGCATTATCATCTCAAGTATGACAGCTTCAATGTAGTCCTCTTGGTTTCTAGAGAGGCATCAGGCCTGAATTGCTACTGAACCCATTCATTTTTGTCAGTCTGTTATATCTGTAGAACTCTTCTCCAGCCCCATGTTTCAAATTATTATTATTATTATTATTATTATTATTATTATTATTACTTTATTTGTACCCCGCTAGCATCTCCCAAAGGATTCGATGCGGCTTACAGTAGGCCGAAGCCCAAAACAATACACGAATACAACAGTACAATACCTAGCAAATAAAAACAGTTAAGCAGAAAACGACAATTAACAATATACATTATTAAGACATTATTAAAAGTTGAGCCGACCAGAGTGGGGTACAGGGTTAAAAGTGCTGATGTGTCGGAGGGATATGGGATTATAGTATATAAATACGGTGTGCAAAGTGCGGTGATATTGGATCTGCTAAAGTGCTTCTGGGATTTGGTAGTGGGGTTCCTAGCCTGGAAAGGCACATTGGAACAGCCAGGTCTTCAATTTCCTCCTGAAGACTGCCAATGTAGGGGCTTGTCTGAGGTCTTTCGGGAGGGTGTTCCAGAGGCGGGGGGCCACCACAGAGAAGGCCCTGTCTCGCGTCCCAACCAAGCGTGCTTGTGACGCGGGCGGGATCACGAGCAGGGTCTCTCCCGATGATCGGAGTGAACGTGTGGGTTCGTAGACAGCGATACGGTCACGCAGGTAGGGTGGTCCCAAACCGTTCAGGGCTTTGTAGGTGAGCACCTGCACCTTGAATTGGGCTCGGAAAATAAATGGCAGCCAGTGGAGCTCCTTAAACAGAGGGGTAGACCTCTCTTGATAATGAGCCCCGGTTAACATCCTGGCTGCTGCCCGCTGGACCAATTGAAGTTTCCGAGCCAGTTTTCAAGGGCAGCCCCACGTAGAGCGCATTGCAGTAATCCAGTCTAGAGGTGACTAAGGCATGGACCACCCCGGCCAGATCAGCCTTAGCGAGGTACGGGCGTAGCTGGCGCACGAGTCTCAGTTGTGCAAAAGCCCTCCCGGCCACCGCCGACGCCTGAGCCTCAAGCGTGAGCGATGAGTCCAGGAGGACTCCCAAGCTACGGACCTGTGGCTTCAGGGGGAGTGTAACCCCGTCCAACACAGGTTGCCACCCTATACCCCGGTCTGGCTTACGATCGACCAGGAGGACCTCTGTCTTGTCGGGATTGATCTTCAGCTTGTTCGTCCTCATCCAGATAGACACAGTGGCCAGGCACTCGTCCAGCACCCGAGAGGCCTCCTTGGAATTAGGTGGAAAAGAGTAGTAGAGTTGTGTGTCATCTGCGTAGAGATGGCAACCAACTCCAAAACTCCGGATGACCTCTCCCAGCGGTTTCATGTAGATGTTAAAAAGCATGGGAGACAGAATGGAGCCTTGCGGGACCCCACAGGTCAAAGGCCAGGGGTCCGAGCAGGTGTCTCCCAGCTTCACCATCTGGGATCGTCCCTCCAGGAAGGACCGGAGCCACGACAAGACCGTGCCCCCGAGACCCATCCCAGAGAGGCGACCCAGAAGGATACCATGATCGATGGTATCGAATGAGTTGATTTCCTACCCTCTGTCTTCCTTTAATTGGTACTTTAAGGATAATTGGTTAGTTTCTTTGTTAAGTTGGATGGAGCAGTAAACCTTTGTAGAAAATGAAAGAGAACTTATTGCACTCTTGTTCAGAATAGCCCTGTTAATGTTGCTGATAGATTAATGGGCCTGTTTTCAGTTTATTTGTTATGAGTTTCTGCCATACACAATATGGCATGAATGTGGCTATAAATATAAAATGAATTTAGAGCTTATTGTGTCATATGAACAACTCACACAATTACCAGGGGATGCACTTGTCCTTCATTCTTATTCCTGTGAAAGTATTTCTTCATTTTCTGTCACAGACATGTGACATGTGTAATACATGGGACAAATAGGAGGGACATAAGAGAAAATATTGTAAAGGTTTGAGAACAGTTTACACTAGTACATTGATGGATTGTGAATTCTCTATAGTATTTCTTTTTAAGAAAGGGTGAATGGTGCAGCTCTCCACCTGTGTTCAAAAGTTAAATTTTGCTGAGCTCTTAGGCTAATGGCAATGGCAGATTTTGGAGTGTGCTTACAAGGAGAGCGGAGAATAAGAAATGTATACTGTATTTTACTGTAAAATCTAAAAGTTAAGGCATTTGTGAGAGCTGTTTCTTCTCAGCATATTAGGTCATAGCAAGATCCTAGAGGCAGAAAGTATTTTAATTTTACATTGCCATCATGGAAAATTCTCCCTCACTTCTGATCATTTAGTCTCATTCATGTGGAAGAAGTGGGGGACTTCTTGCCATTCACTACCAGTCTTACAATTTCCTTTAGAATAGGGTGAGTGACTTAAAGTAAAGGTAAAGATTTTCCCTTGACATTAAGTTTAGTTGTGTCCGACTCTGAGGGGTGGTGGTCATCTCCATTTCTAAACTGAAGAGCCAGCCTTGTCCGTAGACACTTCAAGGTCATGTGGCCAGCATGACTGCATGGAGTGCTGTTACCTTCCAGCAGAAGTGGTACTTTTTTTTTTTGTCATGTCAGGAGCGACTTGAGAAACTGCAAGTCGCTTCTGGTGTGAGAGAATTGGCCGTCTGCAAGGACGTTACCCAGGGGATGCCTGGATGAGTTGATGTTTTTTTATCATCCTTGTGGGAGGCTTCTCTCATGTCCCCGCATGAGCTGGAGCTGATAGAGGGAGCTCATCTGCCTCTTCCCGGATTCGAACCTGCGACCTGTCGGTCTTCAGTCCTGCTGGCACAGGGGTTTAACCCACTGTGCCACTGGGGGCTCCATGCGGTACCTATTGATCTACTCACATTTGTATATTTTCGAACTGCTAGGTTGGCAGAAGCTGGGGCTAAAAGCGGGAGCTCACCCCACTCCCCGGATTTGAACCGCCGACCTTTTGGTCAGCAAGTAAGAGCAATTTCCAACTCGCTAAATATTGTTGAGCTGTGACGGTGTTCACCCTGAGTCAATTTTTAGGGGCATAAGTCCAGTAACATATTTTTAGGGCCAAGGAGAAATTACTGTACTTCTTTACCAATAACATCCTCCCAATCATCGTATTCCCTCTGAAACACTTATCAGATCTGGTTTCTGCAAAAAAAACCCATCCACACAACCTTAACACAAATATGTAGGAGTATTTGTTATGTATTACTGTATTTGGTATATTTTATCTCCATGCCTGTTCACCAAGAAATCTTTACTTTTCTACTCACATTACCTCTTATTTTCCTATTATATATTGCTTCCCCTCAACCTTTCGGCCTACTCTGTAGTGACCTTTGTGAAGAATCTGATGAATGCAAGAGTTCGAACTGTATGTCTCAGGTTACATTTGTCTCCCAGTAAAAATAAGTTAATCTGATGTTCCTTTGGTTTAGCAGCTGCCCTGCTACATATGAATCATCAGAATAGAATACCACATTCCCCTCTCTATCTCAGTCAAGTGGTAGGATGCAGAGAATGTCATGTGCTTTTTATTGAAAAAATGTTCCAGATATCTCTTAAGGCAGCAGAATAATTTCTGGGGACTTTAAATAGAGGAGAAAAACCTCTATCTCCTGATCATGCGAAAGATATTTCTGGTCTGTTTTGGAAACATCTTGTTTTGCAGCTGCAAACTAGAATTAGTCTTGATATTTAAGTTGTCTTAGGAGTTTAGACCCGATGACTTCAGTGATGAATTTGTATAGAACACATGACTGAACTGGAAGATGGAAGGAGACTTTAATCTAGGAATGCTTTAATAGAATTATGCTTTGCCAAAGAAATGTTCAGTAATTGACCCTGAGAGATGATCTTGCTTGTCATTATTAACATTTATATCATACCATTGGAGAAGGAATTAAGACATACTCTTCCCCTTACGACTCTAAATTCTAAATTTAGATCAGAGGAGGAAGAACAACAGAAAATGAAACAGAACAATTGAAAGGGTAGCAGTTGCAGTGACCTGGGATAATTGAAGATCAGGAATAACACATAAAAATAATGACATTGTAGAAGTTTTTTTTTGTTTTTTTTTTTTTGTTTTTGTTTTTTTTGGTCGTGTCAGGAGCAACTTGAGAAACTGCAAGTCGCTTCTGGTGTGAGAGAATTGGCCGTCTGCAAGGACGCTGCCCAGGGGATGCCCGGATGTTTTGATGTTTTACCATCCTTGTGGGAGGCATTTCTCATGTCCCCACATGAGGAGCTGGAGCTGATAGAGTCTTATATAAGATGTGGGTTGGAAGTGGAAAAACTCCCAGGAATACAAGGCAGGTTGAATTGGTAACTGAAAGATGAAGATCTTCATGGAAAATTGAGTGGTGCACTTTACAGTCATCTCTAAGTGCAACATAGTTATTTCTGTGTCATAACAATTGTGACAGTCAAGAGCAGGGCGTCCTCAAACCTTTTAAACAGAGGGCCAGGTTGTGGTCCCTCAAACTGTTAGAGGGCCAAATTATAATTTGAAAAAACAAACCATGAATGAATTCCTATGCACTACACATATCTTATTTACAGTGCAGAAAACACTTAAAAACAATACAATAATTAAAATGAAGACAGTTATAACAAATATAAACTTATTAGTATTTAAATGGGGAATGTGGCCTGCTTTTGACTGACGAGATAGGGTTGTTGTTGTTGTTGTTGTTGTTGTTGTTGTTGTGTGCTTTCAAGTAATTTCAGACTTAGGTTGACTCTGAGCAAGGGCTGGGTAAATGACCTTGGAGGGCCGTGTTGGGCCCTCGGGCCTTAGTTTGGGAACCCCTGGTCAAGAGTACAAACTCTGTGTTTCAGTCCTGGATCCTTTCCACACCAATTTCTTTTCTTCAGACATATAGTAGACAATCAATGACTAGATCTGTCTGGGGCATATTTTGTAGTACAGCCTGTGTATCCCTTCAGTGGTTCTCAACCTGGGGTCCCCAGATGTTTTTGGCCTTCAACTCCCAGAAATCCTAAGAGCTGGTAAACTGGCTACAGAAGTATATTCTAAATTTCAGATTTTTAAAAAGAACTTTGGAATATTTGCATACACATTATGAGTTATCTTGAATATGGGAACAGACTGATTCTTTCCTCCCACCCTGGACATTCCATGAGTATATAATAGGCCTGTGCGGTCGATGAAAAAAATGTTTCAATACTCTTTACAAAATTAGGGGATGCCAGCAAGTTGCTTTTAAAGTGTTTCTAAAATATTGTAAGTGTCCATTTTGTTACTATAATGAARTAATGAATTATTCATTACTATTTCATTAAGTAATTGCGTKCAGGAAGTTGGGCTTCAAGGGGTCCTTTCTTACTCATTTTTAGAGCTATTGGGATGAAACTTGCTATAATGTAGAGCATATTTGCCAGTGACCCCCCCACCCCAAGTTCCAGAATGTGTCACTCATATACTGATTTTTAGGGATTTTTTAGGCTTTTACAAAAAGAGCTATGTCCCTAAATTTCTCTACAATTACATAACATACCCAAGGCATGGTTTCCCCAAGTTTCAGAAAGATTAGCACATCTCCTGACTTTTGGAACATTTTTAATTTTTTTGTCAAAAAAAATCAAATTTTTCCTAGCTCCTATGGCTGACTGAAACAACTTGTGTGCCCTTTGGCACAATGCACACAGATTGCACAGCAGTAGCATTAGAAAATGTTGCAAAAAAGGCTTGTGTCTGACTGAAACAACTTGTGTGGTGGTTGTTGGCTGCCAACGCACAGAAATAGGTCAGCAGTGCACTCAGCAGCCCAGTAGTCCTCAAAAATTTCTAGAATGCAGCAACAATATAAAACTGTCGTAAGGTAAAAGGTGCCCACCCATCTCAAAAAAAGAATAAGTAATGCAAGCAAGCAGTAAAGCAAGCAAGCAAGCAAAGCTTCTCCTTTTTCTGGTATGGACTCGAGTCAACCTTAGCTGAAGAAGATAAAACTAAGTACGCTAGTCTCCTTCCTTCCCTCTCCCCCCCTCTCTCTCTCTGGTGCAGTGCCTGGCTGCCTGCCTACCTTGACTTGCCAACACCCCTTAATTTTGTAATGAATTTTGAAACTTTTTCATCAATCACACAGCCCTAATGACTATGTATACAGCATGACCCTTGCATCTGCAGGAGATACATTCCAAGATCTTCCCTTGCATACCTGAAACCATGGATAATAGTGAACCCTATGTTTTGACTAAATTGGGGCTAGAAGCGTATCATATAATCACACTGGAGGATGTATTGAGGTCCATAAACACTTCTGAGGTGTGGGTTGGGGTATTTTTTTGAACATAAGTGGAACCAGTAGTGTGAAATCCATGTTTAAGGGTGATCAAGCTGTATTTTATTTATCTATGCACACACTTGCTTCAGGCCTTAAAGAACAAATGATAGCAGAGAAAAAACAGAAAGCAACCCAGTGGCCTGAAAATGTGTTTGATCAGTATGGTCTCAACTTAATTTTATTCTCCATGGAAATGTGTGTGTATGTGAAATTAGGCTGTGACTAATTTAGGAAGGTAAATAAATGTAACATACACATTTAAGGTATTATATGTTGGTTCTCATTGATCCTACTGTTTTTCTTCATCCTAGATTCCTGCACATATCACCCAGGAGTACCAGTCTTTCATGATGCTCTTAAAGTAGGTGTCCAAACATAATTACTGACAAGTCTTTAAAATGTCTGCTTAAATTGCGTATTTTTTCATGACCTATATATAAGTTTGCTTGAGTCCAATGGAATTTAATCTTCCCCCTACAATGGGATGTTTTTCATGACCTATATATAAGTTTACTTGAGTCCAATGGAATATAATCTTCCCCTCCAATGGGATGTGTGTGTAAATCTGATTTTTTTTTTAAAAAAAGAAGAAAACGTTTAACTGTTTGATTAAAAAAATCATTCTGAGTAAAAATAATTTAACCTTACAAAGTTGTGAAAAATTGGGTCTCCAGTTTTAAAACATTTGTGTACCTTTTATCATCTGTAATGTGTTACCCCCATTGTGACTAGTTAGACTTCTTCCAAAAAAGAGGGGTTTTTAAAGGGGTGTTTGCAGTTGTAATGGTAAATGTAACTGAATGCTTTCAGTGATGAATTACATTCTCGTGGCTTGTATTTTACAGGGTTGGTCATGCTGTAAAAGAAGAACTACAGACTTCTCCGACTTTTTAAGCATTGTGGTATGTAATACAAAGGTGTATATAGATTTGATCTTGAGTACCAAATCATGGTTGACCAAGTCACTTTACATTAGGGCACCATATTGCAAATATGGCCAGGGTGATCATACAGTACTTTTAATAGTGGTGTAAAAGACTAGATTTTTAGCAGACACACATTTTCTTACTGTGTGAGAGATTGAGCATGAATGGTCTTTGAATTTCCCTGAGACTGGTGATACTTCCCTATCTAATGCTGCTTTATAAAATTGGTGAAGTAAGATGTGAGATTGTTTTTTATTTATATGATGATTATAATAAAATACCAAGGAAATAAGTTAGATTTTTAGAGAATGTTGTTCTATATGCATGAGGAGGGAGTATATATATATACTCCTAGTTGTGGAGACAGATGAAGAAATAGATTTGAGATTAAGCAATAGACAGTTTAAGAAATTAAATTAGCAGAATGATACACAGTTGGTAGTTTGTGTGTGTTTATGTAACTGTCTACTTATGGTGACTCTTAATGTTTTCTTAGGCAAGAAATATTTAGAAGTGGTTTTGCCAATTTCTTCCTCTGAAATAGAGCCTACAGCACATGGGATTTGGGTCTCCCATCCAAGTACTAGCCAGGGATGAGCCTGCTTAGCTTCCAAGCTCAAATGAGATATGGTATCATTTACCTGTGTATAAACATGTCTCTTCCACAACAGGGTTGCACCAAGGGTTTCCATAATAGTGAAAAGCCCCCTGAACCTGTTAAACCAGAAGTTAAAACTACCTCTGAACAAAAAGAATTGAACTTGAAACCAAAATTTCAAGAACACATAATTCAAGCACCAAAGCCAGTGGAAACCATTCAAAGACCAAGGTACGGTACTGAATATAAGCCTTAATGCCAAATATGTTTTCAAATTGATAATATGTAGATGTTTTTAAACATTTTAAACTCAGTCTCTTGGGTATTTTCCTTTTTACATAATGATAATGTTAACACTGATGTTTCTTTTTCACACCTGCCTAAACATGCTGTATGCTTAGCTTAGATTTTGAGACGTGAATAGCTGTGCAGAGGTAGAAAATAGGCAATTATGAGATGATGTACTTAACACTTTCACCATCCTTGATTATTAGTCATGCTAGGTGAAACTGCTAAGAGTTGCAATCTTAACAAATGGAGTGCTGTTTGTTAAAAATGCTATTCTGAGGATATTTAGTTTTGTGACCAAGTATCACTGGATGAGCTATAAAAAGAAAAGCTTTGTCTTAGTTCTGAATATAAGTTAAATTTAATTTTGAGTTAAGAAATTACAATGTTTTGGCAAAGCCCCCTTTTATTCCTTCTTCAAAACTCTGGGTAGCCTTGCTTTGACTTTCAAAACCATTTTGATATCCCCCCCCCCCCTCTCTGTGATTTATTGATTGTTGTGAGGGTTCTCAAAGCTAACCTTTGCACTTAGCAAAAGTAAAAAAAATGGCACTGCTTGCTTACAAAATGTTTCATGTGGTGTTTATTTACATACTGGACTACAGTTGAGTATAATCCAAGACAGAAAGTTTTCTTTATCTCTTTTTCTTACTCTAAAAAGCTCAGCAACTTCTATGCTGTGCAGACTAGATGTTTTGTATTAAAAGGTGCTTGAAATAACAAATAAGCAAAATAACAGGATATTGTAAAAGGAGGAGAAGGAAATGCATCTTATTGAGAAATTCAAAGTTCTAGTTATATTTGGCATCTAAAGTCAAGCAGAGGTGGAGATGAACCTTTGTCTGAAGTAGTAGAGATTAACTCCCATGGGAGTACTGTATATAGTCGAATATAAGACGACCTGAATATAAGCTGAGGCACCTAATTTTACCACAAAAAAATGGGAAAACATATTGATTCGAGTATAAGCCGAGGGTGGGAAATGCAGCAGCTACTGGTAAATTTCAAAATAAAAATAGATACCAATAAAATTACATTAATTGAGGTATTAGTAGGTTAAATGGTTTAAATATTTACATACAACTGTAATTTAAGATAAGATTGTTCAACTCCTTTTAAATTATTATTCTAACCTTCAATGTAAATGTGCTTACATATTCTTCCAATAATAATAGAGTAAATTAATAAATATAATAAAAATAGTAGTAATAGAGTAAATAAATGTAACAATAATAAGCAGAGAAAATAATAAATGTAATAATAATAATAATAATAATAATATAGTAAAATAATAAATGTAATAAAAAATAATAATAGTAACAGAAGAAAATAATAATTAACCTTGACTTGAGTTTAAGCCAAGTTGGCTTTTTCAGCCTAAAAGGAGGCTGAAACATTTGGCTTAGACTCGAGTATAGAACGGTAAGTGATGCTGGACTTGGTGAACCCCTCAAAGCAGATTCATATCTCCCTATATTCTAGTTGTTTTAATATAGTAATTTTTCTTCCTTCCTTTTTTTACTTGAGCACATTTTATTTATAGACCCATTTCTGATTCCTTGCCAATATATGTTTAGGGTTGCTGATAGAGATTAGTTGAAGTCAGGGTGCAACCCATTTGTATGTTCTGACCTCCCCTCCTCGTCCTTGTTGAACCCTAATGCTTTAGAACAGGGATCCTCAAATCTTTTTAAGCCGAGGGCAGTTTCATGGACCTTCAGACTGTTGGGGATGATGACTATAGTTTAAAAAAGCATGAATGAATTCCTATGCATGCTGCACATATCTTATTTGTAGTGTAAAAACCATGAAAGAAAAATGCAATATTTAAAATGAGGAACAATTTTAACCATCATAAACTTAACAGTATTTCAATGTAAAATGTGAACCTGCTTTTGGCTGATGAGATAGTCAATTTAATTGGGATTGTTGTTATTGTGTGCCTTCAAGTTGTAATATTTGGGGCAGGGGTGGGTCAAAAGACCTTTGCCCCACAGGATTTACTTTGGGGACCCCTGCTTTGGAAGATTTGATCAGCATATTTAGTAAATACCTTTGTAATGTTTCAGCACACTTCTTATTTGTTTTCTTTAGCCCAGATGAGCCGATGAGTTGTTTGCAGCTGAAAGTTTCGGCTTCTCTGAAACAAGTATTAGAAAAATTGAAATTGTCAACGGGAAATGAAATAAAAAAAGGTACAAAACTTGTTTGGACTCCAGGCTATTATATAATTCAAAACTGTTATAGTTAGTAGTTCCTAGGAGTTCATAACAGACAACAAAGGATCAGCATGTTCAATAGTATGATTGATAATAGTTGAAATATTTATTTATTATTCTTTTCTTTTAAAACCCTCTTACCAGATACATCCTACCTCTGTTCATGCCCAGTGTTTATTTTTTAAAATTTTAACTATTACATTTGGCCCAGCCATAAGTTTTTAAATCCTTGCGTGTTATTGTTTATATGTGATTTATATTAATTGTATTGTTTTATTTGCTTATTGCTTTTTGTTTTATTGATGTGTTGTTGAGCTTGGCCTCATATAAGCCGATCCGAGTTCCCTTGGGGAGATGGTGGCGGGGTATAAAGAAAGTTTTATTATTATATTTTATTAAATATTACTCTTGGGTCAAAAATGTTCAGTACATGTGTTTCTGCTTCTGAGTACTGCATTCCTCTGGACTTGTAAAAATATAATGTTGAAGTATAAACTTTATTTTACAGAAGAAGATAGTGATGAGATAAAGATTGGGACTACATGTAAAAATGCAGGATGTGCAAAGGTAAGTATCTCAGATCTAGTGTATATGTCAATGTGCTACATATTTGTAACTCTTCAATTACTCTTCTGTACCAAGTTTCTCTTTCTGTGCTGGAAAATGTATTCATTGATTTTATATATGATACTATGGGCTTTTAATTGATTAGCGTGTGTAAACCTTTTTGAATTGGCTTTAAGAAATTGTCTTTACTTTATAAAAGCCTTTTCTATCCTGATGTCCTCAGAGTGTTTGGAATACAACTCTTACAGTCTCTAGCCAGCACTGAAGATTACAGGTTACAAGCATATGGAGGACACAAGGTTGGGAAAAACAACCTTTTCCAAGGTTGCTGTTAGTTTTCCGGGCTGTTTGGCCATGTTCCAGAAACATTATCTCCTGATGTTTCGCCCACATCTATGACAGACATGACAGGTTTTCAGAATGTTGTTCAGCATCTCTGTGTTCTCAAATAATATGCTTTATCTGGGTTGGTTCATCAGGTGCTCTGTTGTGACTGACTTCTCAGGTTGAATTAGTCTTCAGTGCCTTCCATGCTCCTCCATTCGTGTTTGGGCAATGTTGCATTTAGTGGTCCCTGTGTAGACTTGTCCACAGCTGCATGGTATACAGTAGACTTCTGCAGAGGTGAGAGGATCCCTCTTGTCTTTTGCTGAATGTAGCATTTGTTGGATTTTCTTAGTGGGTCTGTAGATGATTTATATGTTGTGTTTCTTTATCAGCTTTCCTATGCTGAAAGGCACTGCAGACTAATTCAACCTGAGAAGTCAGCCATTCACAGTTGCCTCAAGCAATCAAGAGTTCTTTTTCCCACCCTGGACATTCCTCAGATATATAAACTTCACTTGCCCAACAGACCCCTCAACCTCTGAGGATGCCTGTCATAGCTGTGGGTAAAATGTCAGGAGAGAATGCTTCTGGAACATGACCATAGGGCCTGGAAAACTCACAGCAACCTTGGGAAAGATTGCTTTTGAAAATTGTTTGCCTCCCCCTTTCTCTCTGAACCAAGCAACTCAAAGAAATGTGAGGAATCTGGAAGATAAATTGCTACTTCAGCTGCTGGTGGGTAGGAAATGTAGGGTAATAATTGTGTCATACAAAAGGGTTTTGTTTTAACGAGAAGATAGTGTCATATACACTAATGTATATTCAGTGGCTAATAACAGACATATTGTGTTTTTCAAAGACATTTGAAGGACCACACAGCATGGAAGAAACATGTACATACCACATGGGTGTACCTATATTTCATGAAGGGTCAGTATCATGCCAAACACAAATTGATTTCTTAAATTCTATTTTACTTTTTATACATTTTGTAACGCTTACTAAGTAATGAGAACGAAGTGGTATCATCGTGATTTCATTTGGTTTCTCCACAACTTAATACATAGGATGAAATACTGGAGCTGTTGCAAGAGGAAAACATCAGATTTCAATACTTTCTTGTCTCAAGCGGGTTGCACTACAGGAACACATGTGTGGATTAAGAAGGATTCAGTAAGTAGCTGGATTTTTTTTAGTTGGCTGTCCCATCCAAGTTCAAAGAGACATATTCGTATAGGCTTCTTTGAATTGTATTGAAATGCTTTTAATGTAAGCTGCTGTGAATCTCTTTTGTTGAGAGAAAACGTGGGTTATAACTAAATATTAGAGGTGTGCAAAAATTGGATGAGTCAGAATTCATAAGAAAATTTGAAGTTTTGTAAGTCGCAAGCTATTCCGAAGTGTTTGCATAGCCCACACCAAAAACTTAAAAATTGAAACTGACCCCGTTTTAGTTTTGTAAAGTTTGGAAGACTCCCAAAGTCAATTTCAGTGCAAGGCAAGAAAGCAAGTTAAGCTAGTGAAAGAAAGCATAAGTAAAGCTACCTGCATCCTTTGCCATTCATCTCCCTGTAAATTAATGGCTTCTCTGTGTTAAGTCTTAATGGCTTCTTGGCGTAAAGACAGATAGCATTGCATTTTGGAAACAGCACAACAGCACAGAACCTGAAAAATGTAGTTTGGGAAGGGGAGGAGCCCTATACCAAAGAATTCAAAAAGCTCTGACCTAAACTACATGACCCAGTATGCATCAGAATGCACCAATCAGGAGAGGGGAGAAAGATTTGTCCCTCCCTAAACAGTCAGTTTTTATAAAAAAAAACTGTTAAAAAGTCTCTAAAATCAGTAGATGTATGAGTATTTCTGAAAGTTGGGGGGAATGGTCACTGTTATCATGTGTCATTAGATAGAAAATTCAAGGAGCTAGCTCTTGTAGTTTTTTTTAATGTTGTTTATAAAAACTTTGAAAATTTGCCAAAAATCCGTGGATAAGTGAAATGTTATGAAATTTGGTGTGCTAACAACTGGTAAATGTATTCTACCATTGTAGCAAGTTTCACCTCAATAGCTTTAAAACTGAGGGATATAGGAGATTTAATTCATATTTTTATGCCACTTGTAGAAGAAAGTGATTCCATGCAGGCATGATTGGCATCAGACTGGAGGTGAAGTGACCATTTCAATCTATGCTAAGAATTCAGTTCCTGAATGTAGCTATGTAGAAGCAAATAGCACTAAGGTGAGTTACTCTTTTAGTTCGTTTTTCAATTAAAAATCCCTCCTATATTTCTTAGAAATGTGTCTATCTTCTCTAAAAATAATGACAGATCTGATAATTTATTTTATAAATACATGTGTCATCTTGAAGACTGTCCCGATTTAGGATCCTGAGTGGGGAAGCAATAGCAATCTTCCTGTTTATGGATGTAGGATCAGGTGAAGAGTTCTCACCTACCTAATTCTTCCTGGTTTCTGTACATTATGTGTATGTTTGAGTGTGTATTCTGCCCATAGGAGGGCAGGCATTATGGGCAGTTGTGTATACTGCCTGAAGGGCCCACTCCCAAACTAGAACTGAGAGGCAAGAGTTTTAATTTTTTTATGCATGAAGCAAAAAAGCTTGGTAGAAAGTAGTCATGTGCACGAAATTCATTTTTACTGTGTATTTTGTTTCTTCCCCTTCTTTGGAAGCATGAAACAGGAAGCCCCCTCCACACATGGAAATCTGCTCAACACGAAAGCCTGCTGTCTGCATTTGGGCAGGCCTGGAGCTAGGCTACAGGTACACTTAGGGCCCCACCACACACACTCAGGGAGTGTGGCTGGGAGAGTGTGGTGGGGTCTGTAGCCACGCTCCATGCCTGTCTGCAGGCCCTGCCACACACAAGCACACAATCAGAGAGAGTGGCAGACTGTGTGTGGCAGCTGGTCTGAATTTTGGGGCCCCAATAAAAAAAAACCCTCCTAATTTTGGGAGGCTTTAAAAAATGAATCGAGGACTCCAATGAAAGCAGGGACACGAAACGGGGCAAGGCTTACCCCAAAAGCACAAGACTTGTAGAAATTCACCAGGTGCCCTTCTTCTAAGGCACAAAAAACAGAAAGTAGCATTGCTAACATTTTCAGAATGAGATGAAAAAATCTATAATCTCTTGGGAAAACTGAAGAGCAAGTTTCATAACACCTAAGGAGAACTTAAGTGTTATAAATAAATAGGAAACAACACTGGAAGGTAGGAATCACACCCCAATGACTAGTGAGCAGTCAAAAAGCTGTGGTTTCAACCTGTTCTCTCTTCTTGACATGCTTGTTCTGCATGTGTCACTAAACCCATCTTCTTGCACTTTGTGGAGCCATGTTCTTCCTCATAGCTATGCCACCATGTATCAGAGCCAGTAGTTCTAGTTGATTTCATCGAGCAAGCAACACTAAAATCATCACTTGCCAGTCTGAGATGCTAGAATATGGTAAATAATTCACAACTCGAGGGAGAAGTTTTTGGTTTGTAATTCTGAAATAAATCTTTTTGAGACCCATATCAAAATTCTTTCTGTTTATCAAAGCCTGTGTCTAAATTAGGGCTGGGTGGCACTGTTTATATTCTTATTCTGATATTCACAAGTCACAGAGCAGTTTAGTACTGCAGACTATATTTATGATGCTATTAGCAGTTCTTTAGTGTGCTTTGGGTTGTGATTCTTGTGTCTCTCTAGTACTGATAGATTATCTCAGAGCTTTAGAATGGCAGTTTTACATTTTACACAGTGCGATTTGCAGTCAGTAATAGCTGTGAGACCAACAGTATTACCTCCTCCTTCACTTTATTTATATCTTGCCTTTCTCCTCTTAGGAACTCAAGGCAACTAACAACCAATCAATGTAATAACAAGTTCGCAATGTGTTTTTAATATTTTTCTGAATGTTTACGTTTTGTTTATGTCTTATATTTAATGATTTTAAGTCATAGTTATATGAAGTAATTCGTTATTATGATCTCTTTGTTTTACTGTTTGTTGGCATTGAATTTTTTCCATTAGTATGTTGTAAACCATCTTTAGTATGTTGTAAACCCAGGGGTGGACTCAAGATGGTATATAAATACGACAGATAAATAAATAAATAATAAATAAATAGGTGTGTTAGTTTGTTCTTGTAAAAGCCACTCTTTGTTTTGCAGCTAAATATCCATATTGTATTTGAAGGCGATAAGGAATTTAATCAGAATCTCAGCTTATGGGGGGTAAGTACAGAGCTTTGTAGCTTTTCTTATTTAAGCAATTTTTGGCTTTTATTTTTGCACATTTGTAACATGAAATGATTGCAATTACATGTTTTAAGAAATGTGCCAATGGTAAATTTAAATGTATATGAAAGTAACTGGTATATAATGCTGGGTGTGCCTATTCATTATTCAAATTCTAGTGTGTGGCTATTATAGGGCACTGCTGACTCATTTTCCTTTAATCAACATATTCCCTTTGAAAGTCAAATGGAAATTTGTACTAGGCAATACACACTTTTTCCTGTTCATCTTGTGTGTTCTTCCTGTAAAGTCATTTTAAATAGTCCATTTGGCATGTAATTTTTTTTAAACTTTGGAACTGTTAGCATACAGATCTTTTGCTTCTCTGATCCCTTTATTATTTCTGTCCTTTGTGTTGAGATCATAGCTTTTTCTATATATAATTTGTAGGCTAGTAGATAGATCATCAGGCATGGGAAACTTTGGCCCTCCAGGTGTTTTGGATTTCAACTCCCACAACTCCCTAACCAACTGTTAGGAGTTGTGGAAGTCCAAAATACCCAGAGAGCTGAAATTTGCCCATGCCTGAGATAGATTGTTTTAATAAAGTGTTTTTATTGTATTATTGTGTAGCCATCGAATTGTGCCATTTTGTAAGCCACCCTGAGTCCCCCCCTCGGGGGTTGAGAAGGGCGGGGTAGAAGTATACGAAATAAATAAATAAATAAATAAAATATTATAGCTGTTTGCAGTCACTGAGCAGTATAGTATATTAGAAAGACTTTGCACTTGACTACATTCTTTCTGACACTATTTAACTGGAAAGGAATCTCCAATAACAAGTCCCAGAAGCACTTTYGTAGAACTAAGATTGTAGCACACTGTACACTGCACTTGCCCTATAATCCCCACATACCACCTGTCACATCAGCACTTTTAATCCTGTACCCACTACTCTRGCCTGGCCCAGTTTTTATAGTGTGATGTATTGTTTATTGCATGTCGTTATACTGCTTTAACTGTTTTTAATTTGYTTTAGGTGTTGTATTGTTGTGTTGTGTTTTGAGGCCTCGGCCTTTGTAAACCACATCGAGTCCTTCGGGAGATGCTAGCGGGGTACAAATAAAGTTAATAATAATAATWATTATTATTATTATTATTATTATTATTATTATTATTATTATTATAAAGTGTGTGTGGTCCTTACCAGTGAGATTACGCTACTGAAAGTATATGCTTTTTTTCTTTTTGTTGTTGTCAGAGAAATGTGGAAATCACTCCTGTCTCAATTTCATAGATTTTTCAGAATCCCACCTGTGTTTTCATCCTGCCCTTAATCTTGTATATCCTTGTTAGTCATGGAGGACAGATTTCCTCATGGACATTCAGCTTTTTATAAATGCATTTTCTGTAATGGATTTACAGTCATACCTTCACATTTGCTGGAATGAAGGACACAAGACTTCAGAAAAGTGGGAGAAAACATGAATTTTAAAAAACACTCCTTCATTTGAGAGAACATCTCTGTGGGACTATCTAAGTCCTCTAGCAAGACTTTATGGTCGGTTTCTGCCAGAAGTTAACCATAATATCGCACTGGAGGACCTAAAAATTCGTAGAGAGACAATTTTTAATCAAATCTGCAAAAAACAAGCTTGCAAATGTGAAGGGTCAGCTGCATATTAACTTAGCTTAAAAAAATTTTCCTACATTAACTGAAGCATTCTCACATCCTTTCTTCAGCTGTGCATTTTAGCTCAGTTTCAAGCATTGTCACATTTTAAAATGTGTGAACAATTTCTGCCCACTGCATTACTCTGGAATGGCTCAAAAACCTTACAAATGTGTCAGTTCTCAAGTGGGTTTCTTTTTTAACAGCTTGACAACATGAAAGGGTTATTGCAGTTGGGACTGTTGAATCAAGTGACATTATTTTATATTTATATTTTATATTCATTATAGTATGTTTGTGGGAGGCTGTTGGCACAAAGTCTGCTGTTGAAGCTGAAGTGTTTGTTGTCTCTTCCAGGTGATCGATGTGAAAAGGAGTTATGTAAATATGACAGCGACAAAGATTGAGCTCACTATGCGGAAAGCTGAGCCCATGTTATGGGCAGGCTTGGAATTCCCAGTGTCAAAAATAAAAGAGAAACAGCAGCAGAACATTGCAGAGCAAGCTTGAAATCTGAAAAAAAGATAGTTGTTGCTTCTGAAGTGGTGACTTGACATTATAATACAAATTATTTTATATGCAATTGCTTTTGCAAAATTCTGCATTCCAAAGACGGTTAGAAGTGCTATGTTTTTCAATAGAGCAACAGATTACTTGTTTTGTTGTACTGAGCCTTATCAGCCCAAGGCTTTGTGAACTTCAATTTTTGGGCAGTCAGTTGTCTATAGAATGAGATGTTCTGGCTTCCAGTTGTCCAAGATAGATATACCTTCAACAACAGTTTTTGAAAAATCCTACATGGTGGCATTAAAAGAAACTTGCTTGACTTACTTCTGTGCTTCGAGAACTTGTGCCTTAGTTTCCTAGTCTTCGCATAGAACAAGTTCTCGTTTAAAGAGTAAACCGGCATCTTGGTGGCACCACTTAGGACTATTTGAATATTCTTCCATTTGGAGAATGCATTCCAAAAATTAATATATGGCATCTAATTTTGTATGTTATTTATTTGGTCATGTGTAGTAGCATTCACAGACCTGGAATACAAAGTTGCCATTTCAGTAAAAACAAGGTCTTATTTTTTTATGTGTTACAAAGGATTGGGTGACTATCTTCCTGAATGGATTTAGTCCAATAAAATTTTACTTATACTTTTATGATTATATAATTTCAATCCCAAGTGTGCATTTAACTCGAATTTGTCCAAAAAGAAGAAATGGGAACTATAAGATACAAGACTTTCCTAATCCAATGGTCATTGAACTAGATCAGTGGTTCTCAACCTGTGGGTCCCCAGGTGTTTTGACCTTCAACTCCCAGAAATCCCAGCCAGTTTACCAGCTGTTAGGATTTGTGGGAGTTGAAGGCCAAAACATATGGGGAGCCACAGGTTGGGAACCATTGAACTTGATGAAGATGTTAGTCTTTATATCTTACACAGATAACTCAGTTATGAAAATTCAGTTGAAACTTCATTTAGGTTTTAAGATAATGTATTTAGTATTTTGATTCTGCAACATCATTACCAGGTTTTCTATCCATAACAAGGGTTCCACAAGAGTTATTATCATCTTTAGGCAGATCTAAATTCTGTACACACATGTAACTATGTCATCTTCCTTGTTCTGGGTAGCATAAAAACAGAATTAACAGGAACAGTCTCATGAAACAGGACTTACCCTATTAAACTACGTAAAACACATCACCCCCTGGCACAAACCTAAAAGGTTTCTGCTGAAAAGAAGAGTTTTAGTCTGCTGCCAGGATAGCAAGGAGGGGACCATTCTGGCTCTCTGGGAAGAAGAGAGTTCCAGAGTCAAGGGGCATTTGCCACTGAGAAGGAAGGCCCTCTCTCTTGTTCCCACCAACCAAGGTTGAGATGGAGTTGGGACCGAGAGAAGGACCTCTCCTGAAGATCTCAGGGCCCAGCAGTTTCGTACCAGGAGATACTATCCGCCAGATAGCCAGGACCTGAGTTGTATAGGGTTATATAGGTCATAACCAGCACTTTGAATTGTGCCTGAAAACAAACAGTGAAGCTGTTGCAATGGGAGGATGTGCAGATGATTTCTATACTGTGTGATCGTACGGTATCATAGGAAACGGAGGAAGAATAGAATATTCCCCTGTGTTCCTTTGGGTTTCAGGGTATATGGCCATGCCATTGAGCTACTAAGTTGCCTCTCAATGTGATCTCCAAAACTGGAGACAAAGGGCTTTGCCAAAGAATTGGGGCAGACACTCTAGGAATGTCAGCACTTCAGGTAGTTGTCTTGTATGTCCTTATGTTTTCTCCATAGTAAGATAATGCTATACTACAGATATCTGTAAAGATTTATTAAATTTTGTCTGCTATACATCAGAATGCATGGAACCAGATACTTTACAAAGTTGCCTGTGCTCTTTTTGTATGTTAAATAACTAATCCTTGTAGTAAAACCAGGCTTTGAGGCCGTACATTTCAGTTACTACATAAATCTGAACTACACCTAGCATTTCACTCTCTTCATTGCTTGATGATATCTGAAATAATAATCTTTTCTTGCCCATGCATCAGCCTCTTTGAGTTTTGGGAGAGAGGTATGATGCAAGTAGAATTGGAAGTATTTGGAATGAATTAAAAGGGGTTGGGCAAGTTCTTGGAAAACTAGCAGATGTATATCACACGGAGCATAGATTATTCATTCTAACTTGGAAGTTTACCGACAGGATTCAAAAAGCTAAGAATTTGAAGATGGAACAAAGTTTCTGTAGAAATCGTACAGTATTTAAGCATTTTCTCAGTGGTCATGTTTCTATGTACATATGTAGAAAAGTATTCATTGCTTTTATTCTGATATTTCCAAAGAACTTGTGTCAGGAAAATTGGTAAAATTATATTTGAATGTAAACCAGTACATTGTCTGCAATGTCTGAAGTAGTTTTTGCAGTCTTTTTGACAAAAAAAGCTAAAATCCAGAATGGACAAGTAATCCGTCCCATGTTTTTAAATCACAAGTGTTTGCCTTTTATGTTCTAGCTTTAACTGTTCTGGCTTCGTGATTCTCTGGCCTTTTTTAAGCTGATAGTTCTTGAATCCTGAGGAAAGGTTATTCTTTCTAACATGTATGAAAATCTGCCAAGTTTCTTTTCATTAAATGCCCTTGAAATAAATGAAGAGAATGCAAGAAGAGCATTGCATTTAGGACCACACCACAGAAATTTAGTGAATAGCATTCTTGTTAATAACACAAAACTGAACACAGTGAATCCAAACAACTCTTTGTGTTCAACACAATTTCTTTATCCATTCAGTAACAACAGAAGCATGACCATTAGTGTATCCCCAAAATAACTAACTCTAAAATGTATCCAAAGAAAAATAGGGAGTGACACAAATACAAATTCATTAATACAAAACAGTGCTCAAATATCGTAAATGAAAATCGGATTTGGATTTTCTTATAAATTACTTACAAATGTCCTACTCCAAATCCTTTTTTGCCTTACATCAAAGATATGCATGGTTTCTTATATAGTGGCTTCTGGATCCCTACTATGGTAGTGCCAAAGGTTCTGCTGCTGACAAATTCTAGTAGTTTTTCTTGAAAACACGATGAATAAAGTGTGTGCGCCTTGTTTTATGTTATAGTCACCAAATTTGCCAAATGTGAGGATACAGTCCTTAATTAGTTTCCAAGAATCAGTATGCTTGAAAACTCGGGGAAGCTATCCATCTGTTTGAATCTTAATATTGTGAAAGACGAAATACTTTCCTTGAGAATTATTTAGGTATTTTTAAATGTCAGTCATAGCGTTAACTTATTTTCTTATCCGTTTCTTGTTAGGAGTAACTGTTAGCATAAAATGACTTCTTCCTGTTCTAGGGATGTGGGAGTGCTTCAAAGTTAAACTAGTAAATTGTCCACATTTCCAGTAGCAAATCATTAGTGGCACACACTTAGGTTGCTACTGATGTTTCTAACCAAATGGAGATGGGGATAAAAGGGAATTTGCTTATTGTAAAGCCAGTTTGTTTGTAAATAGTCTGCAATCTGGAAGTGTTTGTTTTCAGAGTACAACAAAACCAGGTTTATCTAAGTTGGTCATGACTTTCAACTTATTACAAGATTTTGTTTCAAATAAGAGACCAAACTTCTTTCAATATATTATATGGTTATCCCTTTTTAATAATGTTGCCATTTTAACCATAACTTAGCACTCAGTGTGGTCCATTGCAAATTAACGTTGATTTCATACAGATTGTGAATCAACCCCACATTTGCTCAGAGGCTCACAGGAGCAACAGCTGATAGCTATAGGCATCTGCAGGAGAATGGCATCTCTTCATTTGCTTAACACATTGTGCAGGTCTATTGTAGCTGTTAGTTCTAGTAACTGCTGCAGTAATCATAGTTCTCTCCGCATGTAAGTGGTTAATGCATAGACGGTAGATTGAATTAGAGGCTTCATGCTTCTAATTTCAGAGTCATCTTTTCCAGTACAAAACCAAGTCTTCTAGTTAACTTGTGATGGACTTGTGTGTCCTTCCTGGTTCAACACATGTTCATATTACAGTTCAAACTACTGAAACTTCTGTATAATTAAAGTAATATACAGTAAAGTCACCACTTCAGCAATCAATACTATTGTTTGCCTTGAAAAGAAGAAATCAATTTATTCTGTATAATAATGCAATTATTTGCTTTAAATTATAGCATGAGAATTTTTAAAAACTGCAATAGTGGTTGAGCTCATCAAGTTCTTTACATATTGCAACCAAGGAGCATCATTTGTATATGAAAACTGAAGAAAAAAATGGTGTCTGGAACACTAGAGATTGACTGGTTTTCTTCAGTATTTTTTTCTCCTCTGCATGAATGTAAGTTTTACTTTTTGTTGAACATTAGAGGTCTTATGTTTTCAGGCCTTTTTATAAATTTGTGGAATAAACAGTTATGAAGCTGGTTTCATTCTCTTTCTCACTCATTGATGGGGACCATAAGGTTCTTCCCTTGATTGCAAAGGGCAACAGTTGTAGCTGGCATAACCAAGATTGAGGAATGCTGGGGGTTACAGTCTAATAACGTTAGGAGAGATGCACAATCCTTACTGGTGATCTAAGTGGGGGTTCCCAAACAAAAATCTTCTTTTGCACAACTCTCTAGTTTTCTCCAGACTAGCAACACATTGTGTCATAGCAATATCTGTTGGTTATTTAAATAAACACTCGACAACTCTAATCACAACTACAGTGAAAACGTCATGGTTACTTCCTTTGCCTTGTGGCCAAATGTTCCCTCTGCTTTTCCAAAAATGTCCCCTCTACAGTGGCCAGTTGTGACTTTTAAAATCCACACTGTGCTTTAGAACTTAGGTGGAAATGCTAAGAAAACCATGTCATTACCTTAAAACCTTAGTTAGAAGTTATTTATTTATCATGTCAGAAGCAGACAGAGGGTACAGTTGTAATAGATTTAAAAACACAAAGTTAAAAAAAAGTGGCATTATACTAAATGTCCTTTCACCAGAAGCTGGCCTCTTGGAGTGCCTCTGGTGTTACTATAAGAATTCCTCCATTGTGCATGTGGCAGGGCTCAGACTGCATTGTAATAGGTCAACTGTGGTTTGCTCTTCTCCACACTCGTATGTCATGGACTCCACTTTGTGGCCCCATTTCATAAGGTTGGCTCTGCATCTCATGATGCCAGAGCACAGTCTGTTCAGTGCCTTCCAAGTCACCCAGTCTTCTGTGTGCCCAGGAGGGAGTTTCTCATCTGGTATCAGCCACTGATTGAGGTTCTGGGTTTTAACCTGCTACTTTTGGACTCTGGCTTTGAGGTGTTCCTGTGAGTATCTCTGTTGATCTTAAGAAGCTATTTCTTGATTTAAGATGTTGACTTTCTGGCTGATATCCGAACAGGGGATGGGCCAGAGATGTCACTGCCTTGGTCCTTTCATCATTGGCTGCTACTTCCTGGCAGATGTTAGGTGGTGCAATAGAGGTTAAACAATATAATTTCTCCAGTGGTGTAGGGCATAGACATCCTGTGATAATGCAGCATGTGTCTTTAAGAGCCACATCCACTGTTTTAACGTGGTGAGATGTATTCCACACTGGGCAGGCATATTAGGCAGCAGAGTATCAAAATGCCTAACCAGAAACGACTTGTAGTTAGAACTGAATGAATATGAAAAGAAACAAATTGCACTGGGCTTCTGATGAAATGCTGTTGGTAAAGTTAAACTATATATATATGTAAAGGGTGAAGCTTTTGGAAAACTGATTTCCTTTGTTGAGTGTAGCACTATAAATTGCTGACAGCTGTACTCTCTGCTGGAGATGTGTTCAAACTTAGCTCATTCCATAAATGAGAATCTCAAGCTTGGCTTGAGGCATATTAGCAATGAGCTGTGTTCAATTAAACACCAGAAATAGTACCAGTGTCAGAACAAGGAATTGTTTTCAACAGATTGTGCTTAAGATGTAGTTTGAAAATAAAGGTCACTGGTTCCATTAGTTGAACTACTTTTGAACCAAAATAAAATGGGAAGGAACATACAGAAGGATCCACCCAGAATGGGGAACTTGTAATAGGATGCATCTTCTCAAAGTACACAGTACTGTGATCATCTATGTTCAAATGTCCTTATTTGGTATGAGTAATTATTCTGTTCCTCTAAAGTTAGGATCTGAAGATAGGGCTTTACAGTAAAAATCTACGTTTAGCTTCCATATTTGTATATTTTGTATGTTTTATCTTGCCCTTCCTCCACTGAGCTCTGTGCGCAATTCTACCCATCTCCCTTCCTGTCAATATCATCCACAACAGTATGAAAGTAGTATGTAAATGACTACGGTAACACATTTCATCAGTTGTATCTGCTGCAGTAGACTCAGCCTACAAAAGATCAGGCTACTTCCTTTCAGTTCGTCTCAAAGGTATTACGGCATCCCCTTTCTCTATTAAAACAAGCTAACAAACCTATCTCTTTGAGGTAGATAAGGCCAAGAGGTAACAACTGCTTTCCTATCCCCAGTAGGGTGAGTGAAGATTCATGGGTGAGTGCAGATTTGCAGAACCCAGTATCTCAATTTTAGTACACAGATCTTAAACACAGATCTTAAATCACAACTTTCAGAGGGGATTGAGAAGATGAAGCATTTGACAACTTGCTAGCTGAAGCATGACATTTGTGAGCAGGGGGAAGCTGATCACTACTATTGTTACATGGTGCTTTTAATCAACACACACGACTGGGTGTGTTGACACCAGCATGCCAATACTATGTCCGAAGATGGCATATCTATAACTCCGTAATGCAGATAATTCCTATCTTTATAGTAGGCTAGCACTGACCCTTAGGGGAGTGGCATTATAGTGGTTGAACCTGGTGATTTAGATTAAAAGACCTTATTCTAAGAATCCAATATCCTTTTTTACTAAATTATTATCAGATATAAAACCAAGCCTTCCTTGCTGCGGCCCTCAAGTAACTATTATACATGCTGTCATAGAATAAAGAACTTGTTTTCTTCATAAGCAATAGCATTCAGTGAAGATAATCAGAAGCAAATAGTTGGATTAGCTAAAAGAAATCTGTCTTCAGAAGTAAACTAGTCTAGTTTCTCCTACTTGAAGCTATGGTCAGATGGTTGGAAACTGACCATCACATTTGAAACCAAAGGTAGGAAAGTAGAACGGAAGGAGTTTATGGTCAAACTTTGTAGATATTCCTTATTTGTACAAAAAAAAAATTGGAACGAGATAAAGAACATGTGGGTCTCCAGAGGATGGGTTCCTGTGAGTATCTCTGTAGATCTTAAGAAGCTATTTCTTGATTTAAGATGTGGGCTTGCTGGCTGATATCTGAAAGGAGATGGGCTGGAAATGTCGTCTTGGTCCTTTCAGTTGTAGTCAACATAGGCATGGTGTTGAGCACCAGCATTCACACAATCCACATCCATGAGATATGTAGTAGTATGTAGTTCTGTTGAAAATTCCTTGTGCTTGTAGAATGATCTCTTTTCCTAGTTGTGGAGTTCAAACAGAGCATCTCTGAAATATTCCTATTCTATATCACAGCTTTTAATGTCCCTGCAGCAGCCTGCACTGTGAAGGCTGCAATGGAAATCTGCCTCTTGACTTCATCCCAAGCTTTATTTTGGTCTTTTCTGCTATCAATGTCAAACATAGCATCGTAGATCCCAGGGAAGGACTCTCCTGCATACTTGTTGTGACTGCTTGGAGCAAATATGATATGTCTGTGAAGTAAAAGGGATACAAGAAAAAAATCAAGTTTTTGCAAAGAGAGCAATTGTAAAGTTCCTACAGGACCCTTCAGCAAACTTTCTTTGGGAAATATTGAGAAATATATTGAAAAACAAAGACTTGAGTCCTATAGTACTTTCCAACTGCAATAGACAAATGTAAATCAATGAGCTTTACCTATGTGTTGCCCATTAAAATTATACAATGAGTCTGTTCTAGTGTGATGTAAAATGAGTGTAGAGATCATGTTTAGGTAGGAAAAACAAAATGCACAAATATATAGGATGGGTCACACTGATCTTGACAATGGTGTCTTTGAAAAAGATCTAGGGATCTTAGTAGACTGAGCTAGAAACATTAGTAAATAGTGTATTATGGTGGCTAAGAAAGACCAACAAAATTCTAGACTGCATCAATAGGAGTATGGTGTCCAGGCTAAGGAAAGTAATAATACTGTATCTGCTTTAGACATGTTCCATCTGGAATATTACATCCAGTTCTCGGCATTACCATTCAAGGAAGTTATTCACAACCTAGGAAGTGTCCAGGGGAAGGCAACCAAAATGGCACAAAGCCAGGAAACAAAGCTCTAGGAGTGACTTAGGTGAGGGGGTGTGTTCATCTTCTATCTTCAACATGATAGCCTTCCAAATATTTAAAGGTGGCTGTCATCTTTAAATATTTTCCAGACAGCCTTCTCTAAATATTTGGAGGGCTTTCATGTTGAAGATGGAGTAAGCTATTTGTCTACTGCTCCAAACTGCATCACGAACGAATGGATTCAAATTGCAGGAAAAGAGATTCCACTCAAATGTTAAGAAAAAAAAACTTTCTTTAGCTTTAGTTGCATCAAAGAAGCTACAGAATAGCAGAAAAAATAAGCACTCCCAAGGAAGAATCCTCCCAACAACATTTTGTGTCCTTCACAAAATGAAGGCTATAGTAATAGGATTGCTTTACAAATTAAGCTTCCCTCTACTTTGATGGCTTACCTGTAAAACTGCCTGCCTGGCAAACCAAGAGGATCAATGAAAGCTCTCTCAAGAAGCATCAGCTGATCATTCATGCTCCTCATGGCTATGGGACTATAAGAGATGGATATGACAGAAGCACATGAAACATCCCATATGGAAGACACTTTATTAGTTTTGATGGGTACACAAAAAAGCAAAAGATGATAAGTAACATCTAGTCTAAGTGAATCTTTTTCAAGTGGTTCTAGAACCACTTACCCATCCAAAATTGTGGGGACCATTCATATTACACAATTATAGCACTATGGTTCCATTTTAACCTCTATGATTCTGTTCTAAGGAATCCTGGGATTTGTAGTTTGGGAAGGAGCATTTAAAATTATTAGCCAGAACACTCTAATACTTCACCAAATTACACATGGCTTGACTGATATTTCAAGCTACAAAGCTACTCAGTTTTAAAACCATATTAAATTTGCCACGACGTTCAGTCCTGCACATGTTTACTGAGATGTCCCATGGACTTGAATGGAAATGATCCTCAAGTAAGTAGGCATAGAATTGCAACCTTAGTTGCTCCTTATTGTTGTTACATGTCATCAACTCAGATTTGACTTACGGCCATTCTATGAATGTGAGACTTCCAAAGGGTCTTGGTTCAACAGCCTTGGTCACATATTGTAGCCTTATTCTGCTGTATTTAACATCTGTCTGTGCTTGTTATTTTTGTTTTCTTAATATTCAGCTCTAAGCCTGCTTCTGCCCTATATTTCTTAACTTTGGTTGAAATTTTTTCCCTTATAAATAAGGTCCCTTTTGTTCACATTACTCTGCAGTGTTGTTATAGAAACAACCGAATATATATCACATGGATCCAAATAAATAGTCTTAAAGTATATTTACTTAAATTTAGAACACAAATGTCTCCCGTTGGCAAAACAACACTTTTTTTCTCAAAAGAAAAAAGAAAGAACCTTACTCGTTTTTATCAAGCTGTAACAATCTGTAGTGAAAATCCATTGCTTCATCTGTAAAATTAGACACTGCGGAAAAGAGGGGAGCTGCAAATGCAGATCAAGAAAAATATATTTGACAATGCAAAGAATTTCAGGTTCAGTATTCAACATCCCAGGCACTTCCACATTATAGATAAAGAACTGTGATTCCACTTTTAACTGTCCGGGCAACATCCTATGAAATCCTGGCCATTTGTAGCAAATGAGGGAGATAATTGTATTGGATCAGCCAAAGATATTTTGGTGTCTGCGAAATACATAATAAGCTAAAAATATACATTGACTCTGCCCCCAAGATTTCTTGTTGCAATTCTCTTTTCTGTACTATCTGTAATTAAAGGTAACTTTCTCATTCTACCAATGGATAGGAACCAGTCTGTACATATCAGATTTTTGGGTTCTGATCAGAATTATGGTGGGATTTTTCTCTCTACTATAATATACATTTGAATGGGGTGAATTTCCCCTCAATCCAAACAAAGTTTCTCCTTGAAGCTGGAGAATCTTCCATTGGGTGATTCTTCTTCTACCTTGAGCAGAGCTTGGAGTAGATCAGTGGTTTTCAACCTGTGGGTCCCCAGGTGTTTTGGCCTACAACTCCTAGAAATCCCAGCCAGTTTACCAGCTGTTAGGTTCTGGGAATTGAAGGCCAAACCATCTGGGGACCCACAGGTTGAGAACCACTGGAGTAGATGCTAGATAGTCCAGGTGCTCTCACAATCCCTGAAACTGGACAAAATGGTGAGACTGCTGAAAGTTAAAACCCAAAACACCTGGAGGACCAGAGTTTAGGAATCACTAGTCTACAGAAATGCTTCTGATGTGGCAAAGATTTATTACACATTTATACACATTACCTGCAATTGTTCCATTTTCCCTGGAAATTGAACAGGGACTGACAATATGTCTCAGGGACCAGCACTTATCCATTAACCACTACTTTGACCAGTACTGGTCTACAAGACCCCATCCATTTCTATGGACAGGGCTCTTTTGGCAACTTATGATGTAGTAATGACTGCCCAGTATTACATAAGGAGGTATCTATACCTCCCCATTGAACTGTTTTCCTAAAACGTGCAACTGCTGGACAGCACCTGCAGAGCTCCACCTAGCTGATGAAAAGAACCACAAATTGGCTGCAGATGTCTCCAGAAATACCTCTTTTGAATCATCACCCTTATAAAAGCTATCACACTCCTGGACCTGTCAAATGGTATGTTCTACAATCATCAAATGAGATCTTTGCTTACAATTCCCTGTCTGTTCCTAAGGAAGACCAGGTAAGCAGTCATATAAAGCATTTTTGTTGAATGCCTTCAAATCATTTTGACTTCTAATGACCCTATGGTGAGCCTATCACAGGATTTTCAGGGGTTGAGAGTATATGACTCGCCAAAGGTCACCCAGTGGATTTCATGGCTAATTGGGGAATCAGATTCTAATTTCCAGAGACATAGTCCAACACTCAAATTGTTATATAATGCATCAATTCAGATCTGGATTTGAGTCAAACTTACCAAATGATACTTTGTACATCTCAAGTTGCGTTTTGTGTTTCATGGCCAAATTGTAGATCCCATTGGCATAGATTCTTAAAGCTTCCGCATAATCCGGACAATGCAGAGGAAGGACCTGGGAATCTGCCAGCTCATATACCAAGGCCGCCCGCACTTGAGCAACAGCAAGCTGCTTCTTGAATGTAGGGTCATAAAAGTCCTCAACCAGCTCAAAGGTTTCGTAGGTGCTGTGGTAAACTGGATAGTTACTGAATTTGTCCACTTTCTGACAAAGAGATTAAACAAAATGAGACAAGAAGTTGTCACATCCTTCACTGGGCAGTGAGTTACAAACAGCATACGCCCACATTCTGCTAATTTAAATCTCCTTTAGGAAAGAATGGGAAGAGTTCTGTTCTGCTGAGACTCATCACAGTTTGGGACTTCTTCTATGTAAAATTCATAAGCACTTTTGTGCAGAAAATAGCATTGTCTGCAAACTTTGTAGTCTGGGAGACAATACAGAAATATAGCAAAACAAACAAATAAATCCTCCATCCTTTAAAAGAAAGGACGCTGGAAGAATAAGAGGAGCCAGGACAGAGGCAGAGAGCAACAGAAGTCATGTTTCAATACCCTTCCAAAATCGCAGCCTTCCAAAAATAAAACCCCAAATAGTGGTGTCAAATTTTGGATCAGCAGGTCAGCTTACCCTATTCTTAGTATAGCGTGCCCTTCCTGACGCAATCCCCAATCGCTGGAAATAAGCTTCAAAATCACTGCCTGATCCGAGTTTGTTTATCCTGGCCAGAATGGGAAACACAAGAAGCTGCTGTTAAACCTCTTGCAATGCCAAGTTAAATAGCTTTGGAGCATGGTGTCAAGAACAAGAAGGCCACCCTTTGAAAATGGGAAGGTTGCTCAAGGGTGATCTAAACTTGGCTACTTTTATGTATGTGCCTTCAAGTCCACCTGTCAACATATGGCAACTCCATGAATTTTTTAGGGTTTTCTTTGGCAAGAAATATTCAAAGGTGGTTTTTGTAGATTCTTCACATAAAAGTATAGCCTACAATACTCTGGATCCACTGGCAGTGTCCCATCCAATTATATCAAAAGCTTACCCTGCTTAGCTTCGAATATCAGACTGGCATTCACATTTCCAAAATCTGTCAGACAGATAAAGAGCAACAACTATGGATTCTAAATAATAACTTTTCTTGGGAATTGAGGGGAGCAGGTGTATTTAGAATGAGGAGGCTGGTTTACATCTATTGTTTACCTTCACTATACTGAATGCCTAAATGAAACAGCATTGTTTATAAAGAAGTAATGAGAAATGATATGAATTGCTAGAATTTGACAGTTTACACATACCCACAAGTGACCACGTGATATACATGTATGTTTCAATTAGATTATGATTAATTGAAGCCAGGTTTTGCATGGTAAAATTCTAGGATTTTTGGATTAGCAGGGGCAATGACGACTTCTGCCATCTTTCTTGATGCTTACTCATCCCCTATGAGCTTACAGTTAATCCTCATACTAAGCTTGTAGGGAACAGAGGAAGCTTTCAAAAACACATTATTTGATTTTGAGCTACCCTTGTTATTCTTCAAAGTATTTGGAGATAATTTGGTTGGACTTTTGTGCCTTCAAGTCTCTTCCAATTTATGGGGAATCTATCATGAGGTTTTCTTGTCATGTACTGTTCAGAGAGGATTTGCTTTCGCCATTCTTTGATTCTGAGGTATTGTGACTTGCCCAAGGTCATCCAGTAGGTTTCCATGGCTGAGCAGGGATTCGAACCTCAGTTTCAAAAGTCTTAAACCATTATACTAAACCAGCTGTCTTTTAATTGGCTATGAATAGGCAAGCAAGAGGCATTCACTTCACAATACTCCTGCTATGGAAGAATCATTAAAAGAAAATCAAGAACCATTAGCAAAATACCTATTCCAAGTGAAGATGAAAAACCTTCTGGAACCCATATGTGTTGGTGTGCATTGTAACATGAACTGAAGGTTTTCCACTTTTCTGGAGGGCTATGGTGGTTGTCATGATGACGAGCTGATCATCAAAATTTATTTTTACACCAACAGAACTGGACAAGGAAGTACCTTACCTAGGGAGATCCCTATTTTGTGGAGATGGATCTTTCTCAATCCAGCTTTGATAGAGAGATTTCCCTTCATATCCTTCATCGGGGCTTGAAATCTGGAGAGAAAAAAATATGCTGGAAAGATTATCACCATACCCAGATATACAAATACCATATTATTATGCTATCTCTTAGGCTTTACTTGCAGATTTTTTTGCCCTTGTGTGCCTTCAAGTCATATTATAGGGTTTCCTTGGCAAGAGCTGCTCAGTTGGAGGTTTTCTTTCACCTCCAAGGATGAGAGAGTGTGACTTGCCCAAGGCCCTCTAGTAGACTTCCATGGCTGAATGGGGATTCGAATCCTGGATTCCAGACGCATAGTCCGAAATTAAAACAGCTACACCATACTGACACCATCACCTGCAGATACCCATGCTCAAAGTGTTAATATTAAAGAGCAAGAGTAAAGACCATGCAACCAAGTGGGAGTGGCTATGAAGACCATCATGCTGCCCCAAGCCCATCATTTGTTCGATGTGTACTTTAGGCACACATTGTATGTGACTGTAATGGTATGAAAGCAATTAATGCACAGTGTTGAAGCAGAGGAACAGCATATTCAGTATTACGATGCCTGGAAATTAAACCCATCACAACTACCGATTGTAGTCAAATAGAAAGTCCCACTGGAAGCTGAAACTTCAACCAGAATTGAGAGGAAGGCTGAGACCCTGAATCTGCTATATGACCCCAAAGCAGCTGTTTATGTTTTCAAAATGTCATTGCTCATTGCTTACACCCAACAAGTATAATAAGCGGCTCAGCAGAGATGTGTGAAACAGATGAAATCCAATTAGTAATTTGTTTTGGAGATTCAGATGGCCCCCACTTCATTTTGTAAAGATTCAGAGGAGTCCCATTTCATTTCGTAATCCAAAACTATAAAGCTTTGTAATTGTTTCATTAAGATTTGTTCCATTAGCAGCAATGGGGAAAATTTCAAGGCTCATTTCTTCATTGTTTTTACGACTATTAGGATGAAACATGGCATGTTTGTAGGTATCATTTACAATTTTAAGCCTACCAAGTTTCAGAACATTTGATCATCCACCGATTTTAAGGAAATTTTAAAAGCTTGTTACAAATGTATTTTTTTAAACCTAAAAGAGATATCCCCTTGAATTTCTTTCTGCACAATGGGATAACATAAACAGGCATCAATCATGCAAAGTTTCAATTCATTTGCAAAATTTTAGGAATTTAAAAAGGGGTTGTTGTTTTTTTCAAAAAACACAGCTTGAAATTACTTCTCACTCCAAAACGTTGCTGGGGCTTCCATTTCTTTTCATCATGCTTCAGAGGGGTCCTGTTATGATTAGTAATTCAGAGATTTGTAATAACAAATCATACAAATCTCCAAATGACAAAACAGACCTCTGAAGCTTTGCACAGCCCTATCGTTCAGCACTCCAGGAGCCATTCTAACCACACTTTAGAAAGAGGCAATATGTTTAGGACCAGGCTGCAACAATGAGTTTGAAGGCCCTTATCGAAAATATTTTCTATACACACATCTCTCTTGGACAAGTAGTGATGCAAGATTTGCCTTTTTCTAGACCACAAGAAAAATCAGAAGAAAGCTAGGAGGAAAAAGAGCAGGAGGAAGAGATGAACTAGACTAGTTGTACCTCTTTTGTCAGATTATACACCAACTGATTGAGAAGGGGAGTGCAGTCAACTCTTAATGTGTAGTTGCCTAAAATCAAAACATAGATAGGAGTTGCTTTCTTTTGACACTAATGGGCCAATCTTTTTTAGTCTACCAACCATGCATTGTAAATCTTCTGGGACGTAAGGAGATCTTGAAAGATAACTCCTTTATCTTGAATGAGCTTCCTTTCTGCCTCTCCAGAGAATATGAACCAATGGATTCAAGTTACAAAAAAGAACAAAAAGATTCTACCTAAACTTTAGGAAGAACTTCCTATTTTTTTTGCTGCAAGAACCATTCAACGATGTAATAGAGTGACTTGGGTGGTGATGGATTCTCTGTCTTTGAAGGTATTTAATCTGCGTTTGGATGGATATCTCTCAAAGTATTTTTTTTGTGTTGGAACTGATAGCTCCAGTCGCCCTGAGTCTCCCCTCAGGGGCGAGAAGGGCAGGGTAGAAATATAGGAAATATATAAATAATTCCTCCCAACCTTTATGATTTCATGAATTTTATTCAAATTACAAAAGATCTGACAGCTGTTCATCTTGACACAACCCTGCATCATCCCAGGTGAGCAACTAAGAATGCACAAGAAGGCCATTCATATGAGCAGTCAAAGCTTCACTCGAATTAGCTAAGCAGCAAGACTCACAATCTCTCCAAATGTTAGCCTTACAGAACTGAAACCCATAATTTGCAGTTCTTCAGAGGTAGTCAAAGAACATTCACCTTCGATAGAAGAATCTGTGTTGATGTAAGCCACAGCTCTTGCCTGAAGAATCTTGGCATTCTCCTACAATGGCAATAATAATCATCATCATCATCATCATCATCATCATCATCATCATCATCATCATCATCTATATAAATAAAAATGTAATGTTCGTTTGTGGGATTAACAGAACTCAAAAACCACTGGCGAATTGATTCCAAATTTGGACACAAGACACCTAACAACCCAATGTACGTCCTTCACTCAAAAAATGATTTTGTCATTTGGAGTTGTAGTTGCTGGGATTTATAGTTCACCTACAATCAAAGAGCATTCTGAAACCCACCAACAATGGAATTGAACCAAACTTGGCACACTGTTCTCCCATGACCAACAGAAAATACTGGAAGGGTTTGGTGGGCAGTGTCCTTTGGTTTTGGATTTGTAGTTCACCTACATCCAGAGATCACTGTGGACTCAAACAATGATGGGTCTGGACCAAATTTGACATGAAGAGTCAATATGCCCGAATGTGAACACTGGTGGAGTTTGGCGAAAATAGATTCTTGACATTTGGGAGTTGTAGTTGCTGGGATTTATAGTTCACCAACAATCACAGCATTCTGCAACCCACCAACGATAGAATTGGGCCAAGCCTCCCATATAGAACTCCCATGTGGGCCACAGTTACACGTGGCAGGGAACGGCTAGTAATAATAATAGTAGTAGTAGTGGTAGTAGTAGTAGTACAGGAATTACCAAGGTGATAACAGGCAATATCAAACAGTAAGACCAGTCTTGACTATGGGGAAATACAGTCCTTACTGAGCATTAAACATATTTTGGACAAGGGCATTTACTTACCTCTGCCCATTCTGTTGAACCTAATAACCCAAATTCCTCTGCATCCCAGCTGGCAAAAACGATAGTTCTTCTAGGCCTCCAACCTAGATAAGTCAAATAATTGGTTTTTATTTTCCTTTTAGGTTTTCATTCACCAATAGAATTTAAGGTGATCATTTTCCCAAGATGACTTGAGGATTCAAGCTTATATGTAATGCTGCTTACTGTTTGATAAATAGGAATAACATTTCAGCCTGAAATAATCTTAAAAGAATCTTTAAATTTTAATACAATTTCCTGGAGCATTTAAAGACCTATCCTTGAACAATTCTGTAGAGGTATCTATTTCTGATTGTCTTGTCTGTGCAATAACGTCATTATTTCCTCTAATAACGTTTTGTTTATATTTATTGATTTAATATTAAGTTTCAGGTAAGTTCATTGGACAAAGGTATGTTTGCTGAGTAAATTATATCATTTTATTGAGTAATAAAGCTATCCAAAAACAAAAGTAGTAATATAAGCAAAATCAGATATTTAAACATCCGGTCAACGCTTCCGACACTGATAGTAACAAAACTACGAAAAGGCAATGACTGAAATCGTACTCTCAGACTAAATATGGTATAATAATAATCATAATAATAATAATAATAATCATCATCATCTTTATTTATATCCCACCACCATCTCCCAAAAGGGACTCGGGGCAGCTTACAGGGCACTCCAAGTACAGCATATAATATAATGATACACCAAATAACAATATCACATAAAAACAACCACTATTAACACATAAAATAAAACAAAAACACAATTTAAAACGCAGTCTTTCTGTAGTTAAACTAGCTGCCTTCAAATCACAACTGAAGTGGCAAAGTGTCAACCTCATATGGGCCCATTTCAGCCTACTTGAGGCCAAAACCTGCTTAAAAATCCATGTTTTTGGGCTGGACTGGAAGAATTCAAGGGTGGGGGCTAACCTAATCTCTTTTGGGAGAGTATTCCAGAGCTGGGGAGCCACTACAGAGAAGGCCCTATTTCTCGTCACCACCAACTGCACTTGAGACGGTGGTGGGACTGAGAGAAGGGTCTTCCCTGTCAATCTCAAATCCCATATGGTTAGCCACACCTGCTATATGTACAGGAAAGCTCCACTTATGTGATGAGTTAGTTGAAAAGTGGAATCTAGGTTTTCTTGCCAATGCAAGACTAAACACTAGATGGCACTGAGTCAACCCAGCATGCAAAAAAGGTAGCAGCAGTGGTCAAAAAAGGAGACTAGAAATCAAAAGTATGGAATATGGCTATAATTTAGATCTGTCATAAAAAAAGCAGAACAACAAAACACAAGTCATTGAAAAGCAGGGGACATCTGTACAGCATGTTTTCATTAATCCATGGAAGTGCTGCTTTAAACAGGAATGTCCTAAGTTAGAGCATGTTCATTGTTCAATACCATTCAACAGTCATGACTTCTTTTTATAGAATTTTGGGATTTGGAGCTTCCTAAGAGACTTGAAGTTTTCTGCTAAAGTGAATTAACTTCCCTTAGCAAGAGTAATAGAGTTCTCTAACAAAATTTTTAATACCACACCAAGCTACAGAACCTTGAATTCTGTAAGACAGTGGTTCTCAACTTGTGGG